TACTACTTACCTTACCCCTCCTACTACCTTACTCTATATATATATATATATATATATATATATATATATACATACATGTATATATATATACATACATGTATATTTGTTCTCTTTCCTTCCCCCCCCCCCAACACGGTAATGTCCCTGTGTGTACAGGTGTGTTTTGGATACAGATCTGCGGTACATTGCAACATTGTCCAATCGATAAACCCTACTTAGAAGCGAAACACCCGTACCATAAAGTTATAATATTAAAGTCTTGCACAGAATGTTGATAGAATAATAACGTGTTGAAATTGTAGTACGATTAAGTATATGAAACAGTTGCTTATTAGTCTTATATAAAGGCTTGCAAATAGTGGGAGTGCTTAAATTTCTGTTATAACTTTAAAATTGTTAAATAATATCGTCTTCAACATTTAAAAGTGTGTGAAGGACGCGAGTTGGCCTTGTGGTAGAACTCTGGATTTCGGAGCTGGCAGGTTGGGTTCGATTTCGTGCAATACCACTTTAAACTGTAGTTGCGTTATGGGAGTGACAGTCAATCCCATAACGTAGACGGTGGGCGGGAGAGTACTTTTGACTGGTTGTCGTCCCCTTAGTCAACAGTTCAAAAATTACTACAACTTGTATAAACGGCGACGGTGAGGAGGCTATAACGAAACATAACTTTGAAATAAAAATACCGATAAACATACAAACACCTATCTGGGGTATGAATGCGTATACAGAGTACTCAATCAAATTTATACTCGGTGTAAAAAAAAAAAAAGCACTCGTGCGTTGAGAAATTACGGTGCTTTTATTAAAATACTAGCGTAAAGGCCCGTCGAAACTGAGGAGAAACCGCTGGAAAACAAAGCTATTCCGTATAAAACTGGCAATACACAAAAAATAGAAAATAAAAGAAGTATAAAATTTACTTTCCCAGGAACATGCTACATATTGATCCTGAATCCACTACATATAACTGAGCAAACAGACTACATATTGGTGCCTTTGGATAAAATATTAAAACATACGATGACCATGTGATTGCATATACACCTGTTTTTCTTCAGAGGAAAAATAGTCCTCTTCCCTACAGATAATTGGTATCTTCATTCTATTTTAACAAGTCTTTTTCATAATAATTCCCAAGCACAGATTTGCACTAATTTTTTACTTATGCTACACGCATAACGCCATGTATGATCTGATCCTGGGAACTCCCTCCTAACAGCCTTTTACATAGCAGAAAAAGCACTGAAATTTACGAGCTATTTACGCCTACGTTAGTGATTAAATTCAACTAAAATGGGAACGGGCAATGAAAAGATGGAGTATTATAGGAGAAAAAGTGAAATTGGACTCGTGTATCTCACGAAATTCAGATAAATCGAACTGACCGACCGACACTTTTATATGTATTAATAGTATTCTATACGTTATGTAATAGCTATGTGGGATATAATTTATGTGTATATATCTTATTTACGTATTTTATATACAGTGTATTTATTATTAACATATAATGTATTTTATTAGTTTTAATCGACTTAAAGCGTAACGGTTTACAACAGAAAAGAAACCGAATAACTCGAGCGTTTACCAGAAAGTGGACTTTCCTTCATCAGGGGTAAATGGCAAATGACCATTGTAAGCAGGATGATCAGTTAAGTAGTCGTTTGTACCGGAAGTATGACGTCACGCGTTTCTAAGGATATGACCTAAATTGTGAAATAGCATTGCGTGTGTATATGTGATGTGATGGGAAGCAAAGAGAAAGAGTGGTTTTGTAATAAGAACGATTTACAAGAATACGTGTTTCTTCAAGTAATAATTTCTCGAACAACTGGAAGATTTATCACTTAGTGATACAGGAAGTGGAATAGTGTACATGAATAAAAGATTGATAGAAGAAATGAATTCCAATAATAATACATATATATAAGTAAGGACATAAAAGTAATAAACATTAAGTTTACTTACAATATGGTGATATTACTTAATGGACATTATTTTTAAGAGTGAAAACATTACTAATGCAATAATACATAAATTCGTTCGTTTCGGAACAGAAATTTTCCGAAAGCGATCGGATTTTACGGTTTATTTTCTTGTGCTAACTCTTTCTTTGATCCTGTGTGTCTTTCTTATCATAAGTAACAGTTTCCAACACAATTCCAATCTCTTGTCCCACCTTGTTTATATTTATCCGTGGGAATTATGCTCGAATAGCTCATACAACACGCCTTTTTTTTTTAATAGGTAGTGAGAAATACGAAAGTTAATTAGGTCCAGATATTTTAGATTGATAGATGTCGCTTCGTCATTAGTTACTGAGCAGAAAAAAAAACGCACGATTGATTACGGAAAATTAATGTAACAAGTGTCCATGAAGAAAAAAAATGTTTGAGCATATAGGAATGTGTATTCTCATATAGCCTTAACCTAACATGTTTCATTTTCCCAAGCACTGTGGCAAGTCTGTTGGGTTCCCACGAGCAATTGTTTAGCTAGGATTTTAGGGCAGTTAACTTTCATGCATGGGACCCAGATCGATGCCTAGTTCATCACTTAATGTCTACTGAGGGCGGATTGCGTTTGTGTTTGCAGCCTAATAGTCTCAGCTTTTGTTCTGTATGGCTTTGTTACGGTTACCATAACTACGCATTGACATTTTTGATTGGACGCGTTGTGTGCGCCACGTGACGTCCATTATGCCCGTGAGATCGTATGGGAGGAGTACTAGACCGAAGGCTAGTATTCTGTGTTTATATGCCTGACGATGTTGCAAGGAAGCATTATGCGCATGCGCAGTCATGATCCCCGAGAAAGATTTCGGTGTACGGGCTGATCCTGAGTATGAAAAATCCACTTCTAGAGCGTAGGCGACCTAGTTTGAGTGATTGAGAAGAACTTATGGGATACCCTTTTATAGTATCCCATAATGCAGCGCCATAGAATTTGCCCTCAATGGTGTAAAGTTGTATAGGATTTGCTACTGACTTTAAAATCTAATAAATCAAAGAGTAAGGTATATGTGCAGTTTATAATCTGTAGTGTTTCGAATTATAATCACAGTAATTGCGTGTTGTTGAAAACTTTCGACCCAAGTGGTATCCTGTAAACAAAGTATCTACAACGATACGTTGAGAACGAATTCTCAACCTTCCAAAAAATTACTGCAAAACTTTCAGTATTATTTAAAAACCAAAGACCTATATAACGTGCTATAAAGCTGTTGCTTTATGTTTTTGAATTAGTAGTGAATCGAGTGTCACAAATTTAGTTTTATTGTTTTATAGATCACTCACTGCCTTTCTCAGAACGAGACATCCACCTGTAAACACGAGTCAGTGAGAGCCTGCTTTCCAGGTTGAGAGCCGTTTGTGATTGGTGAAAACTGTCGGTTCCTTGAATATGTGTTACCTTTATATATTTAAATATGAATCCCTGCATTTGTTTTTAAGGAGACCCGACGGACTAAGCTATGCTCTATGTATAATGGATCTTTTCTTATACACGCTTAACGTCACTTGGTGAAACTGGGATGAAACTAAGGAGTTATACGTGCTGCTTGTTTATTTCTCCGTTAAAACTCCGGTTTGTTAAAGAGTGATAGTGTCTCGATATTTTATACAATATTAGATTTAACCGTGGTATGTGTTTATATTCCCCGTTTCAAAGGTTTGGTTAACATCGAATAACTTCTTGTTAAGTTATTGAGGGTATTTCCACACAGTTTTCACGAACCCTGTACGTGAAACGTGGTGCATGGAAATTACTATTGTTATTGTGTATAAATTTAATCATCGGCAAAAAACGACAATTGAAAGGTGAACATGTAGTGAGACGAAGTTTATACGTTAAGACTCGTAATTAAGATGTTCTAAAACGGAGGTTTCCAGGAGAGAGAGGTAAGGTGTCGTGTCGGTGTTTACTAACAACTACCAGTTCTTTGTGTAGCTGATTAACAGCAGGAAACCGGAATCAACTCCACAACACCCAGTGTCTACTAATCTGTAAACATATAAGTTAACTTGTGAGCCTCCTACCCTTATTTTTCTTTTTGGTTTTGGTTTTTAGGTCTCAGGCTGTTAGCGAGGCATCCTCGTTTCACCTTTAAGATGCTACCTTCTAGCATTGGAGAGTTTTATCTCTTCGCGTTCCTAATGTACCTAGTGGCCCTCCCCACTTCAGCTGATGGTAAGTACGAGTTTTGATGTATAAGACAATCTGTTGAACGGAAACTTTAATAACAGGTGGATGCTCAAGAAGAGATGTGAAACTGGCTGATTAATTTTCGTAGTTTAAACTGTACGAGTGTATTATCAACACATACATAATATATTTACATTTATGTTTAATATATATATGTGTGTGTATGTATATATTAGTAGCGAATTATATAGCCATATTAATATTTTTTTAGATATAAGTTCCATACATTGTGCCTAAAGTACTTTCAAGAAGTGTGTGTAGAAAACTAAAACTTGTATAATATGAATGAGCATTCATGTAGTATAAAACTTTAATGTGAAAATCCGTGTCTGTTTGTTTGTATAGCCTTTGTTGTATTATGAACTTTGTTTGTTTTAGAACCACGATTAAAATTTCTATACAAATAACATTTGTACCAAGGATTGTCCACCGAAGAAGGTGAACTTTTTGTTAACACTATTTAAGTTGGGTTTAATATTTGCCCGGTTTTCCGTTAACGACTTATAGCACGACATAGGTGTAAGGTGGTTGGGTAATTAATCACATTAGTCTTTTAAAATTATTTTGTGTGAATTAGCTTTAATTCTTGTAATTATGTGGTCATATAGGTCTATACTAAGACGGGTAGTAAATCTAATAAACTTTGGACTGTAAATGAAGAAATTGCACAATACATTTATGTTTAATTTGAGGACGTTATGAGTAGTATATGCTCTGCAGCATTAAGTTATGAGTAGTATATGCTCTGCAGCATTAAGTTATGAGTAGTATATGCTCTGCAGCATTAAGTTATGAGTAGTATATGCTATGCAGCATTAAGTTATGAGTAGTATATGCTCTGCAGCATTAAGTTATGAGTAGTATATGCTCTGCAGCATTAAGTTATGAGTAGTATATGCTCTGCAGCATTAAGTTATGAGTAGTATATGCTCTGCAGCATTAAGTTATGAGTAGTATATGCTATGCAGCATTAAGTTATGAGTAGTATATGCTATGCAGCATTAAGCACAGCACCAGTTTATTCCGGAATCCCTCTCCTCCGACGTTATTGGAGGGCCGATGTACAAATAATTTTTCCGGGCCGTTTTAACTCTCAATCCGCCCCGGACTTGTACCACACGGTATCGCCATTTGTCACGTTATAAAGATCAGCTAACACTAGCACTTTGTTATAAGTTGTCAGGTTCACAACAGCACTCGTGTAACAACAACACGTTGTAATAAAATGTCAAGTTCTGAATAACGATAAAATAACAGTTACAGGTTATTATTAGGTGTCAGTTTCACAATAGTGATCATGAAACATTATCATTTTATTATGAGGTCTCTATTTCAATATGATGATAAAGTAAGACTATCACAGTGGTATGAGCTGTCATCTCTGTGTATTGATCGATGATATTATCACGTTGTTATGAGCTCTACATCTCTGTATTGATCAATGATATTATCACAGTGGTATTAGCTATCATCTCAGTGTATTGATCAATGAACTTATCACAGTGCTATAAGTTATTTATCTCAGTATAAGAGGGTAAGAAGTTCAATAAATTGAATACTTTCTAAAATATATTACTTTGTATTTGGATATAACGCTGTTAATCTGGAATAAAGAGTTTTAGAGGATTAATTTTTGCTTATAATATTTTAGTGTGTTTTTTATATTTAAAAGATTTCATATGTGCGTGGAACATACAGGTGAGTATTTTAACATTTATCTCACTCTCTAGTTCTTACTTAACTTATGATTTGTAGTTTCATTTTATTTGATGCACTAGTATTTTTGAAAACATTGTAGCAGCGCCCTCTGTTAGCGTGTTGGGGATTAGCCATGTAATTCTGCACCTCCTACTATGTTTGATGAAAAACTATATGTAGCTTTCATGCATAAAACTGTGTTAGCGCATCCAATTGATAATATTCCAAATTTAGAAATGGTATCCCAACTGTGTACTTTACTATTTTTATACAGAATCCCATTATAACATTTTTGATAGTTGATAACTAAAAATCATAAGTAGCAAGAAAAAATCCATTAATAGTGGAACTGCACAGAAGATAGTGGGATATTTAGGTTGTTGCGTGATTCAGTTTCAGGGAATGAAACGTTTCTAAAAGTTGCTAGTAGTGGTTTATGTGTATTTCATCATGTGAAGTTTCAGCATAAGATAGCAATAAGACTATTAGCAAACTGTATCAGAAAAATGAGAAAAGAACAGTGCCTCCCCTTAAACGGTGGCGACACAGTTTATTTATCTAGAAGCCGGTAGAATATTCGTTTTCAAAATTAATGTTTCGTGTCTAGTATATATCGTTATGTTGATTAAATCGGGCGTTTTCTGGTGAAACGGTAATACTGTTAAAAGTCTGATCTGTTCTTTATTTAGCCCCGCGAATTCACAGCATACTACATACATCCAGAACCTGTTTCAAGTCCAACTCAGTTTGTTTCTTGCGTAATTGCTGTCTTCATTCGCTACTACAGAATCCCTTCAGTACTGGGAGATTTAGACGATAAACAGCCGTAATATAGTGTTAATTGATTTTTCATACTAATTCACGGTACTCTTTAGTGAGAGCTTCTGAGGACTGTTATTATTTTGTTTTTTTTTCTTCGCAAACAAAGCATTCATCATAGTAACTTGTGATCACAGAAAACGTTGCTTGAACCAAATTGTTGGTTGTACACGAGATTTTGCGCATAATTTATAACTGGGATATCTTTAGTCATATGAAAACGGAGATAATTTGTAACTGGGATATCTTTAGTCATATGAAAACGGAGATAATTTAAAACTGAGATATCTTTAGTCATACGAAAACGGAGATAATTTGTAACTGGGGTATCTTGAGTCATATGAAAACGGAGATAATTTAAAACTGGGATATCTTGAGTCATAAGAAAACGGAGATAATTTAAAACTGGGATATCTTGAGTCATAAGAAAACGGAGATAATTTTAGCCATAAAAATTAGGTCGTGTCTTTTACCGTTGTATTGAGTAAAAGAAATAGAGGAAGAGACAGAACAGAAACATTTGAGTAATTGGAAATATATATGCTGGTGTACTGTTGTGTAAAATATTTGAAGTTGGTTCAGTTACCTTTGATTACTGTTGTAACACACTCGAGTAACATATATATATAAATTGGATATGCGTGCAACGACTCCTCCCACGCCCATTTTATAATTGAATAAATCTTCTTAATATATCCACGTTTTTGCCGTAGAGCCAACTAAAGGTGTGTCTGGCGAAGGTCTTTAAGACAGTGCTTTAGAGATAATTTATTTTGTTTTAATGTAATATGCACATACCCCAACACTGTAATCAAGGGATTGGTTTAGCTTGAACTCTTCGTGTGTTTTTTCTCACACCATATCGTAAAGCTGTATTCGATGGATGTAATCTAACGACCTACGGAGTTCCACATGACTTATAAATTATTCCTTACACTGCCGGGCTACAAACTGATCTGTTAAAGAAGATGGATGACTGTAGTTACATAACGTTTGGTGAATGGAGCGTGGAGTGGATGAAACCCTGTCGGTGATAAAACTGTGGTTTACTCCTCTTCGTCATGCTGATAACTAGATAGATATGAATGAATAGATCGATAATGTGAATGCATAAGCAGATAGATAAAATATGCACGTGTCACAAGTGTTACTTATGTGCCACAAGTGTTGATTGGCTAATAATACGTGTTGTATAGATAAATGTATGATTATAGTAAACAACCAAGTCAAATGAATAGGAATAGTGAAAGTAAATGTGAGGATAAAAATTGAATGGCCATTTGGCCAGTCGACCTTTATCGGAACGTATGCCTCATAATTATGTTTCCTTTACAGTTATTTTAAGTGTTTTTCTGTGTTTTCAGACTTTATCATGCTGTGGCTGTGTTCGTTTGTAATTTGTGTTATTACTAGGTAGAGAGATGATAGAGACTATGCATTTATAAACTGATAGTCTGTTTGTTCGAATTTTATAACAAACACACACACTAAAAGTCAGCGTACATTTAAGTGCAAACAAATCAGACACAAACATTGCTTAGTAATTATAAAAAGTGCCTACCGAACGTGTAATACAAGAAGTAAAACTCTTCGAACACAAATACATCATAAATAAACATGTCAGTATACATATAATCACCAACATCGTCGGTAATTGTAAATAATCTTCTACCAGGACTTCTGTTCTCAACTGATTAAAACTTACCCGCTGATCTTCACTCACATCTTACCATAGTTCCCAAAGAACATGAAAGACGGGTGATCTGACCCGGGTCAAAACTTGTTTCTTCAGCATCCTGCTTGCACAAAAATACGCGTACAACAGAACATGATGTCAAATAAAACACTGGTGCTTGATCGTGTCATCACCATTATAATAACAACAGTTTGGCGGAATATGAATTCTTTATTATTTTTTAATATAACCAGTCATTTCACGGAGCGGCTACGTGAGTAATACACCACTAGAAGTTAACGCTCCTTTTGCCAACCCAAGAGTTGAAACAAAAACTTCACACTCTCACGTACAGAGACAGTGAAAATTAACACAAGCGTCACGTGGAAAACAAAGAAAAAGTAACAGAAAATTTCTCTTTTAACCACAGTTGGGAAAACTCGTCTAAACAGGGATGATATCAAGCTCCTTTAGAACAACCTGAGATTACACAAAAGAACAAAGAGAAAATTTCGCGGGAAAATATTCTAATCATCCAGCTGGAAAAATTCTTCATTTACCTCTCAGTACCCACGGAAAATACTACTAGCAGGGTTCCTCAACATTCGATTAAGTAAAATTGACTTATTTAGTAAGATGATGTCTTCCGTAAAAACTTCGAAAACGTTAAGGATAAGAAGTCCTCCAAGTGATAAAGGCGTTACATAAAAATAAGTAACACTTTTGGCATCAAATACTCTCATAATCAACAGATCAAGAATATATATATATATATATATATATACATATACAC